AGTCCTTATCATTATCTACTCCACATTAGTAGATATTTAATTACTTTACAGTACTTATTTGATACTTTATTCTTGCCATATAAAATCAAAATAATTTAATTTAGCTATGATATAAATAAATTGATAATTCTAGTTTTCTACTTCAAAAGGCTAAATACAGTAGAGCATCGATTATCCGACTCAATTGGGGACTGGGATTGGTCGGATAACTGAAAAAACGGATAACCAAAAAATATGAAAAAATACATTATATCTCATGTAATTAGTATATTAGTACAGGTATAACGCTATTAACTTACTTCGCGTTGAATTTTCATCGATGTTAAGCCTAACAAAAATTTTTTAAAAGAATAATCGCCGTTATTGTATCGTTAAAAATTAGAAAATTAAGCCTCGTTTAAATATTGGTTCCCTTTCATGGTCGAGCCAGAGTTCCCAGCTAAAACACGTAAAAATGCTATTAAAGTAGCCAAATATTGTAACGCCACATCACTAGCGGACATTTGAATTTGCCGACTAGAACGCGGTCGGTTAACCGATGTGACGGTTGATCGGGGGTAGGATAATCGATGCTCTACTGTAATTAGAATCAAAAATATATTAACGTACAGTACCTTATATAAATGTTCTCTAAGACTGAGTTCGACAATTCGCTTTCTCTCTCTATCTCTCAAATTTTCGGATCAACTTTTATAGGCATGGCTGTGACTATAAAACCAAAACCGAAATATGAATTATTAATACAGTACAGTAATTCACATTTCGGTTCTGGTTTTGGTTTTGGTTTCATAGTCACGGCTGTGCCTAAATTGTTTTCTTATTTTCTGCAGTCTTTTGCTTAAGGAGTGTAAATTACTTAAGTTCTGTCATTAGTAAGCTAATTGCTAATTTAAATGTTAATTAAAAGTTCCCCTTTCTACTTACGCTCGAGTCTGNTTGCTTCCTTAAGTTACTTTAGTTTGACAATTTTTTCAGTAATTTTAAGAAGTGAAATGTGTACAAATATGAAAGTGGTTTTTATTAATAATCATGATTAATAATTAATCATTATTAATAATGATCTGGAAAATGTATAAAAAATGATTGTTGACAGAATGGTATTGTAAAATATTATACTATGTCTAAACTAAAAGAATTCTAAAAAATATTATAAGTGTATAATAGTTTTTTAGAGTAATTATACACTGGAAATGAAAATTTCAAACACTAAGAAGGAATTGTACTAGGTGAATAAAAATTACACAGAATATTTTTCTTAAAAAAATATACATCTTAAAAATCAACTCCAGCAAAAAGTTTAATGAAACAAAAATGTTTTGAACATAATTTGATAGGTCTTCATCAGTTGAGTAACTCAACTTTATATTTAAGTACAGAAATCGTTATCAGTAATAATCTACAAATTATAAAAATGAACAAATTTTCAACATTTGATATTGAATAAAATAGCTTGTGATGAATCAATTTGAAGCTTTCATTAGAAATTACACATTTTTAAAGACATCACATAAACTGTAACTGTAGATTGTTAATAAACAGATAAATATGATACTATTAAACATTTTTAAACATTCCTATTTCAAAAGCTAAAGAAATACTAAATATTTTCCTGTTACATTAAATATTAAAATAAAATTTGTGAACAAGAAATTATTGAATTATTGCATTCATATTTATCCTCGTTTTAAGTTTAATGATAAGTTACAATATATATAACAATCTTATATAAACAATAAATTTTAGNGCGGTGACCAATACATTACTTACGTAATAATTCCAATTGGGCTACTATTTCGATATTACAGTTTTTACTGTATCGCTTGTAATTCAAAGATAAATCACATACAATTTATGTAATAAACACTTCTAAATTTAATTACGAAATAGTCTAAAAGCGAGACGTATTTCACACAGTTCTAAAATCGGGAAAAGCTTATTATAAAACGGGACTGTCCCGTCTAATTCGGGACGTAGTTAGAAGTATGAAAAATAATTATAAAATAAAACACGAATATATGTACAGTACTAAATATAAAACACAATAATGAGTTATAAAGTTATAAATTTGTACATAAATAAGCAATATAAAAAAAAGTGAGTAAAAATTGCATAACTAAGTATTTATTACTTTTATATTATGTTTTTATTTCAAGCCTGTTGTTGTTACTTATAATTTTTTTTACGATTTTCTGAATTTAATATTTTTCCACTGTATGATAGATTCTAAAGCAGGGTGCTGCACACAAAGGCACATAACAAATTGCACAATAATACCTGGATTTTTTTCTTATTTTTCCCCTGCACCGTCACGCTTAGTTTTACATACGGCACAGAGTCTAGTGGAGGCATTTTTTCTGTCGGTCGCCGGAAGAAGGACTGGGAAAGACATTTCCTAGTCCTTCTTCCGGCGACGGACAGAAATTATAATACGGAAATGTCTTTCCGTAAGTCTAAGCGGACTTGATTTTTACGTGTATTTTTTTTACGTAGTACGGAAGTGACAGAATAATCCGGAAGTACAGTACTTTGTTTTTATGGCTGGATGGTTCTGAAAAAAAAAACATTTATAAACCTTAAATGGGATGAATATACATATAAATTTACTAAACTCAGGTAAAAATAAATGAGAATAATGATTTATAATTGTTTGTACTGTACATGTTTGTAGCTGACAAAGTATCTCTGAGAAGGCGCGGCTTTTTGCATTAAATTTCCACCCACAAACCCGAGTCGATGCTTATTCGTTGAAGGTTAGCCAATTAGCTATAATATACCAATTACAGCTCGCAGGAATGTGAACGAAGGTTTGTCTCATCCAATAAACAAAAGAAGGGTGTTCCATAGACATGAGGAGTAAATATAATCGAACACCAAACACTTGCTGAGCTTATTATTAATTTACTATTCAAATGCTTTCAGCCTACTTCTAATAGGCCATCCTCAAGAAACTACTGTTCTACAATCGAATACAAAGCTTTCGAACAATTTTTAAATTTAAAATGTTAACATATTTTTAAAATTCTTTACATTAATTAATAAGCTCAGCAAGTGTTCGTTGTTTGATTATATTTGTAAGTAAACGGCCGAGGAAGTGGGAATAGACATGAAGAGTTTTGTACAGTACAAACAGTACAAACCAGTGACCCACTGCATATCTCACAGTTGTAAATTATGCTATTAAAGTAACGGTTAACATTATACAAGAATTGTACACGTTTTTTTCTACATCCCCTTAGAGATGGGATATACGAAATCGCAATATCACTGGCTTAACATTGAAATCCGTGAGTAATATAAAATCGGAGAGCGGAATAAATATATCAAATATTTTAACGGATTTTTTAAAACTCCTGTCAATTATACGGAAAACTATCATAAAAAACATACAGGTAAATTCTTATCGGTTGGTGCTCAGTAAAGCGCATGCGCGAATCTGGCTTTTTGGATACTGACAATACAGCGTTTCCACTCCGCTACTCCGCCGCTAATATTCGAATATACAATAGCGATCTTATTTATTTTTTCACGTGTAGTATAGAAATTTGTAATAAGATACACAATGCAGTTATAATAAAATATTGTGCGATTATTTTCGTATAATTAAAATTAATATATATATTTACTTTTTAGAAAATACAAGGGAAGCGGCGAATCCACCGCTTCTAATGACGGCACGCCACTGCTGTTGTTAGAATGGCCGAATCGTCAGGCTCAGTCTATCTCTCTGGGAGACACGGGATTAAATCTGAGTGGTCGAAAAACTCCAAAAATTTTTCATGGGAGGTTCGTTCCAAGTACTATATCAACCTTCGTCGCTTATCATTCGGTCACCCCTAATGTGATCTTGACTTAACCCATGATGAACAGAAATAAAAGTTCCTCTCAGTGTCCATAAGGTGAAAAAAAAAGAAAAATAATTCATTGTTAGTTCATATGTATATTTCTTAATATTGATACAGCTTTACAACGTGGTCACAGCGGCTAAGACTCGTACCTGCTGCTCTGTTTGTTTGTAGCAAAGCTACAAGTAGACGATTTATCGAGAAGGGATGATTCCCGGGAGGGCTTTCTATGAAAAAATGGCTCGTATTTAGGTACTATAGACGTAAAGAAAACGCGAAAATTCACTCAGCTACTAGCTAGCTCGTTGCCGAGGAGCGAACCCATGACAAAATTTTTCAATTATTCAGTAGTTTTATCCACTCGGCTGCCTTCTGTTCTGCAGAATTCGGGTTCGACTATTTACCTGATGTTCAGAAATTTTCATAAACTATCTAGCCTTAATATGGATCCCGTTTCTTATCACCCGATCAATGAGAATTTGACCAAACAGTTTATTCACACAAGAAAGGTTCTCTTAGCGTTTACAAAACAGAAACAGTAAACAGAAAATGTACAGTGTTTCCTCTCACCTTTAATATTTTGATGATAAGTCACGTAATTTTAATCTTCTCCTCGCTATTTTCTTGTCTTACAGAGAAAACGGATTTTCAGGCGCATAGAAATTACTTTTCTCTTAATTTTAAAACGTAATATAAAGACTACAGAAATCACTGAGAACTTTTCTCTCTTTGCATTTTAAAAAAGTATTTTTAAAGCTTATAAAAAAATTTGGCCTTAATTTTTAATTAAAATTTGCTAAAGGAAAATTAACGAAGAATAACGAGCAATTATTTATTGCGACGTCGTCACAATTCCCGACTGCATTTTTTTAAAAAAAATCATATTTTAATTTAACAAATCACATGACTTCCGGTCCAGATTGGAAGTTTGGATACAGTTATTGGGGTATCCGTATATGGGGACAGAAACATTTTTTAAAGAATCATTCTAGTTATTTTGAAGCAAATTCATCATTCATTTAAAATAAAACATTAAAAGTAATTTCTCTAAATAAATAAATAAAAATAACTCGACTTATTAGGACAGATCTTTTATATATTCTTTTTTATTATTATATAGTTTCTTATACATATTTATTTGTAAAATTGATATTACCATAAATAAAAAAGCATAAAGCATTTTCTTATAATATAAAAATATAAAGTTATGATTTAAAAAAAAGGTGAAGCATGCAATTACAAAAACTAATTCAATTATGAATTTTTTTTTTATATAATTAAAAGCAATTCATTGCACATTCTTGTATTATTATTCGATGTGTATTACATATATTTCTATGTATAGTGACTAAAAATTATCTTTAATCATTTATAATGGGAATACTGTCAAATGGGATTATATTTTCTTCCAGCCATGTCAGAAATTGATCATTTACTTTCTTTGCCATTTTTAACAGAGCCAAAGCGTCACCTTCGGCTGTACGTGAATCGGGTAGAGGACAATTAAAAAAATAGTTATACAGGCTTCTGAATTCGTCAGATATTTTTACTTTTATTTTCAATGGAGTTTTTTTATCAACACAAGTATTCTGTTTAACATCTGGAGAATTAGTAAATAGAGGTTCTTTGACTGGACTTTTTGTTTCACATAATTTCTGATCCTCTGAGATTTGTCGCATGTCTGCAGAGTTTTTACATATTTCATTAGACGAACTACTTTTGAGAAAGTCTATATTATCTTTAACAATATTGTCATCTTTGTCATTGTTACATTTATTATCCAAATGTACATTTGTAAGATCATCAGTAAGATATTCAATTTGAT